TGTGTGTGTGTGTGTGTGTGTGTCTGTGCGTGTAAGGGAAGTGGTGGGAAGATGAAGCCATTGCCAACTCCTATGGAGACAAAAGCTGTGGGGGAAAAAAGGGTTCTTTGCTGGCAGCCTCTGCACTATTTTTGGAGTCTGGTTGGGCAGAAGCCCCTGGGTTTTCAAGGCAAAAGACACTTAGCCTTCAATTTCTCTTTTACTGGAAAGAAAGGCTTCCCCATCAATCTGTTTGGAGCCAGTGTTTTTGAAGTTGTTTTGGTTGTTGTTGGTTTTTTTTTTCTGCAAGAATTCCTTCTGGTACCTCCTCCTGTATCTTCTTCCTTCCTGTGGATTTATTTGGCATTTAACTGATTGGAGCTGAGACACTTCCTAAGGGATCTGTCTTTTGGGTACGGACTGTTGCACTGAGGGATGCCATAATCCCCTGCATTGATGCTTACCTCAGCATTCCTAGAATGCAACGTATAGATGGCATTTGTATATTTGGGGTATTTTAAACCTTATTTTAATTCCAAAGGTCAATGAAGAAAAATGAATGCTGATCTTTTTTTTTTTTAAAGAAAAACAAAACAAAACAAAAATGTGTCTGGTGTGTTTTGTCATCTTGTGATTTCCTAAGTCATGTTTGCACTGAAAATAGAGACAAGGAAAGCAAGAAAAGGAGCTTTGTTCCTTACAGCCAGCCTCTGAATGATGCCTTGCAGAAATGAAGACTGAATTCATGCCTTCTCTTCCAGAGCTCATTTTCTTTTTCATTTCTCTAATTTTTGTCTCTTCCAGTCATTTTATTCTCCCTTATTGTCTCTATTCTTCCCATTTTCCAGTCTTTATTCTACTTCCTCTTGCCCTCTCAGACTCTGAAGTCCCTTTGGAAAGTGAGGGCACCTTCCTGTTCTTTTCTGTCTTAGTTGTGGTCTGCTTTAACAGGGTCCAAACGTTAACTTACAGTGAAGTGGAAACAGGCATCTTTTCTGTCGGTGCTAGGCTACTGAGTTGTGAGGGCATTCAGGTTCTAAGAGTTTAAGAGGTGTGTTGCCCTTGGAAGGGAGGAGAGCTTTTGGATGGGAAGGGAGTGAGCCCCATATGCAGTCATCATTTACATTAGAAATAAAATTTAGGGGCCAAGCTCTCAACAAAAGTCAGACATTTTATTTTATTTTTTGTTTTTTGCATTGTCTTTATTTCTGAATGGCCTTCCCCTATGCAGCAAGCCATCTTTTATAACAAAAGTAAAGAAAAATCAAAACTAACCAGTACATCAACAGGGTCTGACAGTATATGCAATGTTCCACATCCATTGTTCCCCATCTCTCCAGTGAAGAGAAGGAAATACAATTTCTCATCTCTTCAGGGACAAGTTTGCTCATTATAATTATACATACAAACTTTATAAACCACCACCACCACCTGATTACTCATTCTCATCCTCCTCACTCCTCCCACTGCAAAGTTTCAACCAAATGCCACCTAACCCTTCCACTATGCCCTCTAGAATGCCTGTTAAATAGACAATAAACTTCCCTTCATCTTAAATCTTCCACTCCTTGCATCTACTGAAACTCCTCCCTGGTAACGCTGCCTCTCTCTTCACCCTTTCAGGATTGGTTGCACCTTCACTCATTCTCCTTGGCTCACTGGTTGGGGTGGGGAAGTCGGAATTCTACTCGTTCTCCATTGCCACTTCCAGGTTCTCCATCTGCCCCCAACACTGGGTGACTCCTTTTGATGTTCATGCACTTCATACCTACTATCCTATCAAAATCCTGGTAGCTGTTGTCTACAACTCCCAGTCTCAGTCCCCTTCCTTGAGTTCAATACCTGGTTCACAGTTTTTCTCTCTTCCCCAACTCCTACCCTCATAATAGGGGACTTCAACATACATATTTACTCTCCCTCAAACATCCTAACCACTCAGTTCCTCAACCTACTCACTTCCCACAAGCTGTTACTCCACCCCAGCCCAGCTCCCCTTTTGCAGATTATGGCCAGCCAAGCCTCAGCCTTGGATCACCCCCACCATTTGTTATCTTCACTCCTATATAAAGGCTGCCAAATAAGGATGGAGACAATCATGCAACCATTCTGACTCCACCACAGATTTGTGTTACACAATTCAACTGGTCCCCTACAGCTACTAGGCAATCCTACCAGACCTCGCTTATCAACTCACTATTTCACTCTCCACAGCAGCTGTTCCAGACCTCATCATTCCCTCCTCAAATCTCAGGCCATTTGCCATGAGCTCCCTCTTCTTCCCTCTTCCTTATCCCCTATCACTCAGATGCCTTTTATCACTATTTCTTCCTCCATCCATCTCACGTGATAAAGTGACCTTACTCCTTACCAAGGCTAACTCCTCTACTTGTCTAAGTGATTCCATTCTATCCTCTCTTTTCCAACATATTGTTCCCTCTATTATCCCCACTCTTTCACTTATTTTCAATGATCTCTCCCTTTCTGCTGGTTCATTCTCTGCTGCCTAAATACCTGCCCATGTCTCCTCCTGAAAAAACCCTCATTTGCTCCTTCCATTCCTGCTATATCTCTTCTTTCTTTTGTAGCTAAACTCCTTGAAAAGACTATTCATAAAAGATAACTCCACTTTCTTTCCTCTCCCTCAACTCCTTATAATCCAGCTTCCCACCTTATCATTCCACTAAAACTGGTCTCTCTAAAGTTACTAATGATTTCTTAGTTGCCAGATACAATGGTCTTTTCTCAGTCTTCATTCTCCTTGACTTCTTTGCAGCCTTTGCCACTGCTGATTATTTTTTCCTTCTTAATATTCTCTTCTCTTGGGGCAGCTAGGTGGTGCACTGGATAGAGCGCTGGCCCTGACGTCAGGAGGACCTGAGTTCAAATCCAGCCTCAGACACATAATACTCACTATCTGTGTGACTCTAGGCAAGTCACTTAATCCCAACTGCCTCACTAAAAAAAATATTCTCTTCTCTCTAGAATTTCAGAATACCACCCTCCCATGGTTCTCTTCCTATCTGTCTGACCGATCTTTATCTCTTTTGCTGGATTCTCTTCCAGATCACACCCTCTGACCATAGATGCCCCTCAAGGTTTTGTCCTGGGCCCTCTTCTCTTCTCTCTTAATACTACTTCACTTGATGATCTTGTCAGCTCCTGTAGATTTAGATACCATCTTTATGCTGATGATTCTCAAATCTACCCATCCTTCCCCCAAATCTCTGCTGACCTCCAATTTTGAATTTCCAACTGCCTTGCAGACACTTTGGATTGGATTTCCAGTAGACATCTTAAACTCAACATGTCCAAAACTGAACTCATTTTCTTTCCCACTAAACCTCACCTACTCTACCTTCCCTATTACTGTAGAGAGCAACACCATCTTCTCAGTCCATCAGACTTGCACCTATGAGTCATCCTGGATCCCTCACTGTCTCTCGCTCCCTAAATCCAATCTATTGCCAAGGCCTGTCAATTACAACTTTGCAACATCTCTTGAATACACTACCTTCTGTGCTCTGACACTGCCACCACTCTAGTGCAAGCCCTCATCACCTCATGCCCAGACTATTTTAATAGCCTGCTGGTGGGTGTACCTGCCTCAAGTCTCTCCCCACTCCAATCCATCCTTCATTCAGCCACTAAAGTGATTTTCTTAAAGTATAAATCCAACCATGTCACACATACCCCTCAATAAATTCCAGTGGCTTTCTATTACCTCCAAGATAAAATACAAGCTGTTCTATTTGGCATTCAAAGACCTTATAACATAATATAATCCGCTCCTACATTTCCAGTCCTCTTACACCTTACTCCCTGACATGTACTCTTTGACCCAATGACTCTGGCTTCTTGTCTGTTACATGAACAAGATACTCCATCTCTTGGCTCCAAGCATTTTTTCTAGCTGTCCTGCGTGCCTGGAACACTCTCCCTCCTTTGCTCCATCTGCTGACCTCCCTAGCTTTCTTTAAGTCCCAACTGAAATCCATTCTTTTACTGGAAGCCTTCCCCAGCCACTCTTAATTCTAGTGCCTTCTGTCTATTCCTATTTATCCTGTATAAAGCTTGCTTTGTATATATTTGTTTGCATGTTATCTCCTCCCTTAGATTTTAAACTGCTTGAAGTCTGGATCTGTCTTTTGCCTCTTTTTGTATCCCCAGCACTAAGCACAGTGCCTGACACCCAGTAGGTGCTTAATAAATGTTGGTTGATTGATTACAGCATTCAGCTTCTTTTTTTCTTTCCATTTACACAGATATACTTATTAACACATATACTTCATCTTTTAAAATAAAATTTTATTATCTTTTGATTTTTACATCACCTACATTTTTCAGTACAATCTTTCACATGGTTGTTAATAGTTTGTGCTTCTTTTGACAATGGCTTTTTCCATCAACTTTGACCATTTATTGGGAACTGGCACTTGGTCTTTAATAGTTCTGTTAGTTGTCTTTATATCTTGGATACATCCATTTCAAAGATGCATGCAAGCCTTTCAGTTCCTTCAACTTGTGTTTCACGGAATCTTTTTCATCAACACAATAGTGATAGTGTACATTATGTATAAGTATACATACATATATATGTATAGTAGAGTTTTATAGCTTAGAATGTACTTTATCATTTAATCCTCATGCTTACCAGTGAGTAAGGCAAGGCAGCTTGCCATTCCTATTTCACAAATGTGGCACAGGATTCAGAGAAGGTTAGTAATTTATCCAAGATCACATAGTTAACAATTCATGGCAATGGTCTTTTGACTGCTAGCTTAATGAATGCTGCTTCCTTTGCACACTGATGCCTCAAAAAACACTTCTGCTAGAGGTGTGGCATCCCAAGTATTTAACCAAAATCCAATATGAATATGAAGTCATTGATCCCCGTACTTTGTCTGTCCATGTATTCTTTTAAGGGCCAGGAGAATCAAGTGGAGATGGCTGGCTGGTGCCAAGCTCTAAAAGACACAGCATCATTCTGCCCCAGCTGTGAGTGGCA